GAAGGAAGGAAGGAAGGAAGGAAGGAAGGAAGGAAGGAAGGAAGGAAGGAAGGAAGGAACAAAATGGAAAACCAAAAGCATATGCAGCACCCTCATCTTACAACGTTATGGTAAAAATATTCCCTGTAGAACTTTGGGAAATGAACTGTATTATAAGCATCTTATGTAGTAAAGACAAGACTTGTTTGCAACAATCCCTTCAAAAGGTAGCTGTGGATGGTTCTGAACCCGGAAGAAAGACATCTACTGCCAAGTCAAAATTTCTCACAGGACATTTTTATTAGAGACAATGTGATATTTTTTCTTTTTTGTCCTCCCCTAGCAATGGAAGGTCACTTGGCAAAATTAATTCTAAAATTTCTCTCTTCCCCCCCCCCTCAAACTTTCCTGGCTTCATACTTCCCTCCATGACATGTTAAACGGAAACAAGAGAGATGTCATTGTGAGGGAGCAAAATGGTATCCAGGCTGCCAGCACAGTTCCTTTCCTTGTTACTTGTAGCAACAGCAATAAAATAAAATAAAATTCATAGAAGAAGAAACCTGTGCTGCAACCACTGCTCATAATGGGTCTCATTTTTTGAGAAACTGTTGGAGAATTTCTTTTCTCCTTGGTAAAATTTGGAGAAATTATCCTCCTAATTTAACTGCCCACAAATAGTGTGGAGATTTTCATTGGGCTATTTGCACATAGCTGTAATCACTGCCAAGTATTAATCAGAGAAATGCTTCCAACATATAACAGAGAAGTAACATAAACTGAGGATCACTTCCATGAGTGAACGAAAGGGAAAGAGAAAGAGAAAGGAAAAGGGGGAAATCAGTGAACCACAGGGCACATATATAGAAACAAACTGCAATATATAGCAAAGGTATGTTACCTACATGTCAATATTTTACAAATGTTGCCTTCCGGTTTATTTAACCACCTTGTCTTTGGCAAATACAGCAGAAAATTAAGCTGACATATATCCCATGATGGCTGCCATATTGAAAATTTTAAAAAATGTAAATGCCAAAGTTATCCTCCATGATGATATTACAGAGCACTGTATATCAGAAATTTCATAACAAATATATTAGTCACCGTTGAATGTCATACCTCTCCAACTTTCTTACCTATGGAATGAAATGGCACAAACCTTCCATTAGGCTTCTGTGGGATAGTTAATGACACATCCATGTAAAGCCTTGAGTGTTTCTCAATTGTGCATCATTTTCATACTTCAGTTGTTGCAATTTCCTCCAAAGAATCATCGACACAGAGTAACTTTTCTATACATTGAATTTGGTGCTTTACAATATTTTGGCATTAGCAACATTTTGTTGTGTCGTTATCCTATCCTCAGCATGGAGACTGGCATAGTTTTTTTTGAGGGGTGGTGTGGGTTCCTTGTATAGAGATTCAGCATTCCTTTTCCTCACGGGTGATATACTGATTAGAGATTGGGAATACTGTTCTCACCATTTTGGTGAGTCATCCTGCTTCGTGGGTTGTCAAAAGTTGACGACTCACGAAGCACAAAGTTGCCCCCATGAAGTGACAAATAACAAAGTTATTTGTCAATTCGTGAGGGGGGTGTTATTTTTTTTTAAAAAAACCTCCCACTGCCACCCCCCTAACATCGTGCCATTGCTTAGTTTCTTGGCTTAATAGATTACTACTAGGTTTGAAAGTGTGTGTGACTGTGCATGAATGCCTCTTCTCTGGGCTTTGATTGGCTAGGTGAGAATTAATACACTAAGACCTGCTTTTTACCTTCTTCATGGTAGTACAAATCTTACTGACTGCTGTCCTCATGCAAGTGCTAGAAGATGGGATGTCTGTGGGCAGAAGGGAAATCCTTCTTCTGTGTGTGCACAGAAGTAGGCCACACACCTAGGGTTGCCAGATGTCAGGCAAAAGGAGGACATGTCCTCCTTTTTAGCCTAATGTCCTCCGTCAGCTTCCCCCGCCCCCACCGGCCCGCCCACCCCTGGTATTTTGAAAAAAAGCCTCCATTGAATTTATTTTTAATTTTTAACATGACTGTTTCTTGGTTGGTTCACGAAGAGACATTTATTGGCAGCTATTGTAATAAAATTGTATTGATTGTGGGTTTAATCTGGAATGATTTAAATGAAACATTCAGTATGTCCTCCTTTGTCCTCCTTGTCTTTCTATGTCCTCCTTTTAGTACCCGTGTATCTGGCAACCCTACACACACCCCAAACTGATCATGCTGTAAAGTTCCCCTCCTCCAGATCATATCCAAGATTGGGTCAGATTACTATTATTATTTTGACTTATACTGCCCAATAGTGCTAGAGCACCCTCTGAGCATTTTACAAAATAATTATGCAAACAACACCTTGTCCCTCCCCCCCAGCAAGCTTGGGTACTCACTTTACCAACCTTGGAAAAATGGAAGGCAGAGTCAGCCTTTACCCGGCTGTTGGGATCAAACTAAGGAGTCCAGAGTGTCCATGAGCCTAGTTAGGCACCTGTCTTTGTGCCCTTATTTGGGTGCAGATGGGGAGTGGGGTCCTTCACATTCCTACTTGTTAGTCGTGTGGGTTTGTGTGTCTGCGTGTTTTTTTAATCATGGAGCTTTAGGTTGGAAGCATTTGAATTCTAGTCGCAAGGAAATGAAACTTTAGATGCTTTAAATACTCTGGGAAAATTCTGATGTTCCTGAAGAAGTTGTCATATTTTAAAACAAAAATTCTCAGGCAGCCTGAGAAACGAGGATGAGTAAAAAGGGATCTTTCAGTTACTGCAGTTCCCATCATCTCTTTCCATTGGCCATGCTGGTGAGGGTTCATGGGAACTGCAGTCCCACAAAATGGGGGAGGATCCAATTTTCTCCATTCTCGTTACAGAACAAAGCACATTCTCAAAAGGACTCCAGGCTGAGATACAGCAGGACAAAGGCGTTATCTTGGCCGTAAGAAACAGACGTTCACCAGAAACGTCCAACCTTTGTACTGTATAACCCACTTTGAAAAATGTACAGAAATGGTCTGAGAAGCTTGGTTAAAAATAAATAAATAACTAGATTGCTTCATTGTTTATTTAGACATTTAGCAGTGCATACTAAGCAGATACAGTGTAAAGTGGCACATGCACTATCACACTTTACTGGCCACATTTTCAGGAGAGTTTTCAGAGCAGAACTTTGGGGCTGTCATCCAAGGCACAGCTGAGTAGAACGAGCAGAAGATGCCCCCAAGGCAGCAGGTCACAACATTTGAAGGAAGTGCAGCAAGACACGTTACCAGATCAAGACCGGTCCCAGGTAAGAGCATTCAGAGGCTAAAATTACCTAGCTGTACCATGGCAATTTTTTTTTTTGTCTAAGCTGTGGGGGGGGGGAGGAGGTTGGACAATGTTCAGTTTCAGGAACAGCTTCAGATGCTTAGACCTCAACATTCTGCTCTTCTGTCATTTTCAAATAAATTCTTCCATTGTGCACCATCCCGTTTGTAAAACATAAGTCAGGAAATCCCACGCTTCACCTACCAGAGGCAAGCTCTGGCACGGAAAACAATATTATAGATGAAACATTCGACTCAGCATATTCTCCCAGCCTTCTAGCAGTGGACAATGTTCAGTTTCAGGAACAGCTTCGGATGCTTAAAGGTAAAGGTAAAGGTTCCCCTTGACAATTTTTGTCCAGTCGTGTTCGACTCTAGGGGGCGGTGCTCATCCCCGTTTCCAAGCCATAGAGCCAGCGTTTTGTCCGAAGACAATCTTCCGTGGTCACATGGCCAGTGCGACTTAGACACGGAACGCTGTTACCTTCCCACCGAGGTGGTCCCTATTAATCTACTTGCATTTGCATGCTTTCGAACCGCTAGGTTGGCGGGAGCTGGGACAAGCGACGGGCGCTCACTCCGTCGCGTGGATTCGATCTTACGACTGCTGGTCTTCTGACCATGCAGCACAGGCTTCTGTGGTTTAGCCCACAGCGCCACCACGTCCCTTCATGCACCACCACGTCCCTTAGACCTCAACATTCTGCTCTTCTGTCATTTTCAAATAAATTCTTCCATTGTGCACCATCCCGTTTGTAAAACATAAGTCAGGAAATCCCACGCTTCACCTACCAGAGGCAAGCTCTGGCACGGAAAACAATATTATAGATGAAACATTCGACTCAGCATATTCTCCTAGCCTTCTAGCAGACATCTGTATTGCAACGCTTCATCTGCCTCTCCGCACTTGTACTGTAGAATTTCTTTGTGTTTCTGTTCTTCTCCTAATAGAGGTTGGACATCACCATGGATCATGGCTATTTTGGAGATCAAGAATGGGATTCCTATGCTCTGTAGATGACGTGCAGGTCTTCAGCCATTGTTTTGTGCCTCCAGTCCTCCCAGTTGTCACACCAGGAGAAAAACTGCCCTTCCCCAAATAAGTATTTCCACCCATGGGAACCTCAAGGAGTACAAATTACTCTTAATACCAAACCAAATCCCACTCTACATCTTCTTCATTTACTTATCTGCTGGTTCGTTGGAACAAAAAGATTTCTGGCCCCTTCTGTTTTTCTATTTCCCAGGTTTAAGCTTCTTTTGATTTGGGTCCCCCCCCAGCAAAAACCAACTGCATACATGGCGTTACTACCACACTTGTAGAAAGAGATGGCAAAAAAAAGAATCTTGTCTTTAGAACATTTAAAAGAGGGAATCAGGAACAGAACTGCCCCCCACATTTACTCTCCCCCCACTTTAAAGCTTTGCTTTAGGCACAGAGAGATGATTTGTATGTATGGAGCTCTCCTGCCATACAAGCTCTCCTCCCAACTGCATACATGGCGTTACTACCACACTTGTAGAAAGAGATGGCAAAAAAAAGAATCTTGTCTTTAGAACATTTAAAAGAGGGAATCAGGAACAGAACTGCCCCCCACATTTACTCTCCCCCCACTTTAAAGCTTTGCTTTAGGCACAGAGAGATGATTTGTATGTATGGAGCTCTCCTGCCATACAAGCTCTCCTCCAACTTTGAGGCAGAAGGAGTTCCACATGTACCCCCGTTTGTACCCATGGACTCTGAATGGGGGATGTTTTCCTGAGTAACTTTGAGCTGGGCCCGGAAAATGCATACATGTCTGAGACAGCACTCCTCTCCCATTACCTAGTTCTCTTTCCTCTTGAAGCAAATCATTCACTGCCACAGCTATTATAATGAAAATAGTAAAACAAGCAAGGAAGTACAGGGCATGAGCCAAACATCTGGTGCTCTCCGACAATAGCAATATGTGCTTGTCTACGTGCGTGCTTATACACGCACAAACAGAGAGAGCGCACTCAGCAAAACTATAGGTTGCACCATACAGTATTATCATACAGGTTTATTCTTTAAAATGCCCTTTCTTGACTGCAGAGCACACCAAGTCCACATGCCAAATAGACAGTCTCGCCTCTCATCCCCAAAATGTTTTTGAGGTGCATTTTGTTTTCATTCTCTGCGCACCCACCAGACAGTTTTTACTTCAGATTAAAGAACATACATGGCTCATTTATGGCTTTAACAGCAACGGTCATGAATTATGACTCCTTGATGTTCTACGATTGTCTTCCCTGATGGCGGGGAATGTCCCTGGCTTCAAAAGAGGGTAAAGCAGAAGAGCTGCTTGAGCCACGCAGAGATGCTGTCATTCCACGGACATCCCCACTTGTCACAATACCATCCTCGATGTGACTGCAGCGAGATTTAGGCTGGACAATTCCCATGCTGTTGCCCGTGGACTATCCTGAACAAGTTAAGAACTTTACCCAAATAATCTCTGCTCCTTTCATTTGTGGTTTTTTTTCCTTAAAGACACACTTCCATAGCATATCAATGAAGCAATTATTGAGAAGGGAACAAAGGGAGAAACTGTAAGAATCTAAGCCGTTGGCCTGTCCGGCTTATTTCTGTTGGACTCCAATTGGCAGCAGGTCTCCAAGACAAGAGAAAGAGGTCTGCCCACCCCAACCCCAACTCCCATCCCACATCGTAAGATCCTTCCCGACTGGAGATGCCTGGGGTGGCATTTCTACATACAAAGCACCTGCTTGTCTTCCACATTATGGCTTCTCCTAGAGTTCTGCGTGGGACAGCGTTTGGGTCTTCATACATCCTGACCTAATATGATTTCACTAGCTCGAAGTAAGATTTCATGGACTGAATGAAAACATTCAATTTCCATTGCATGATGTCAAACAATACATTCTGTACTTGTTCAGAAGGCTTCCTGGAACACCTGCATTTTGCAGCACAGCGTCTCAGAAATTTCCCCAACTTCTGTTTTTGTTTTTAAAGTCTGTACATGCAGACATCCATGTCCTTATGCAACAGGACTGTGAAAGGGAAGAGTGGAGCTGTCCATACTAACATCACAGTGGTACCCCACTCATCTTGGTCCTCCCAGCATCTACAAGTGGCGATTATATTATCCACTTAGGGAGGGCTTCCCAGACGTCACTTCTAATGAGTGTGTCTTTTAACCACAACTTGTACATGGTGATAAGATGGCCACTGGCTTCATTGATTAATTTTTTTTGTTAAAAAATGCATTAAGGGTGGCAGAACTGAAGAACGGATAAACAACTCTGAATCAGGGGTGTGGCTCTCAGTGGCTCGAGTTACCAGCTCAGGCCATTCTGATGTTTAATGCCAAAGTTTGCCTCCATCAGCTGTGCAGAAAGAGAAGAGGGTCCAAGGATGATCTGATAAAGTCGGTAACCGCCTCGTGGAAAAAAAATCAGGATTTTTTTTTGTTTCTGTTCTTCTGTTCACCCTGCAATTAGATTAAATGAGAAGTGGCTCAGATTTGCTGCTGAACAAAGTGTTGGCCATTTATCAGCAGAGTAAAGAAAGTGAGCCTTTGGAATGATATCGCTGCACAATCACCGATGAAAAGAGAAATAAATAAAGTATTTTTTTCCCCGGGGCATTCTCAGATAGCTTTTACTTCCCCACTCCCCACCCCTGAAAATGCAGAAATGATACACTCAGTGGCACAATGGTGAGAATGGTATAGTTATGAAAATGTACTATTTCCTGTTTTCTTTGGAAACCAACATTTGAATCAAAGTCAGATTTGGAAATCTGAGATTGGCACTGATAAATAATAATAATAATTTTAAAAATACACTTCCAGTTTAAGTCAGTTTGACTTAATAATAATAGTCTTAGAACTAAAGAGCTGGAAGGGACTTCAGCATCTTCCCCTCTGTCCTTCTGTTTGCAGACCCCTGTCTGCAACCGTGGTGAGATTCTGGCAGTCAGTGGGGACAGTGGTGAACTAGATGGCTTCCCAGTCCAACTTAGTGTAGAGCTGCTTCCTTTGTTTCCCACCTAGGTAAAGGTAAAGGTTCCTTGACAATTAGTCCAGTCATGTCCAACTCTAGGGGGCAGTGCTCATCCCCGTTTCCAGCGTTTTGTCCATAGACAATCTTTCATGGTCACGTGGCCAGCGCAACTAGACACGGAACGCCATTACCTTTCCACCGTGGTGGTACCTATTTATCTACTTGCATTTTTATGTGCTTTAAAACTGCTAGGTTGGCAGGAGCTGGGACAAGTGATGGGAGGTCACTCCAGTGTGTGGATTCAAAGTGCTGATCTTTCGACCTTGCAGCCCAGAGGCTTCTGCAGTTTAACCCACAGCACCACCATGCCCCATGACATTTCCCACCTACCCTACAGCTATCTGTCTGATCACCTGAGTGCCTTGTTTGGCATCGTTCCATTCCAAGCATCTGCTCAATTCTCTTCTACCTTTCCAATATACTGAATTAAAGCAAAGTTTGTTGAAGAACGTGTCCTTCAGTGCCTTTATATTTTTTCCAGCTTTTACCTGCTGTGCCTTCTGCTTTCTGCTCACAAGTGTACACTGGCCATTCCCCTACAGGGTGATCCTGCTCAGCTTGATCCTGACCTAGAGCTGAAGAGGTCTGGCTCATCCCTGACCCTTTAGGCTTTTTTGCAGCCCCAGACTTCCATTGATAAGAATGGGATTGACAAGGACCTACTCCAGGGGTGGGTGAGTAGGCACTAGCAAGTGTGGTCTCATCTCCTTGAAACCTGAGGGAAAGGGCACCTGCTACTTAGACAGGAAGAACCAAGGGTATTTTACCTCTCATTCTTCAAGCAGCGCAAACAATAATGATGAGGGTCCTCTAGTTGCGCAGCACACTTTGTTTCTGTTCCTTAAGTGGCTCTTCTGTGTTCTCACGGAGATTGGGCTTACCTGGAAAGAGGAAGTGCACACAGCTAAAAGCAATACTGCCTCATTTCTGCACATATTTCATATCACTGGGTTCGTGTGCAACCTTCCTTCTCTAAGCCAGTGTGATTTAGTGGTTATGCCAATGGCTGGAGAAGTTGAGGTTCAAACCCCTACTTAGCCATAAGGCTTTGGACAAAACTTGCTTTGGCTAGTTATTTACACCACAGGGCTGTCATGAGGAGATGTGGGTGGAAAGAACCTCGGATGACATCTGAACTCCTTAAAGGGAAGCTGAGTGTGAGTGGCCCTTGTTCCCCCTCCATCGTGACATGGTATGTTTGCCCAAACTCAACTACAGGAGAGGTGGTAGTTGTGGTGTGATGAGGATGGGACAAATACTGTGGCATAGCTCCAAAACAAAACCAAAAAAAAAATCCATCTGGGAAACATTGAGTGATGCAGTATTACCATTCAGTGGGACAGTAAGTTGTGTTTCTTGCTGTACATCCACAGCTTCTCTTTTAATCAACGAAAGCTTTGACGAGGTCTCAGCGCCTGGAATGCTGGTGTGAGAATTGAGATAGTGCACTTGAAGAACAAGAGGTGTGTGGGAGGACTCTCTGGATAATGGTGTTTTATCCTGTCTTCCCTGATTTTTCTCGATCGGTCTCTTCGTTGCTCCCTCCTCCAGTTGTGCGTCTGTGGTTTGCCTGTTTGGGTCTTCCGTCATCGGCTCCTTTGACTGCATTTCATCTTCTTGTACAAGCTCTTCTGCAGGACAAAACACGCACATGAGGTTTTGTTGTAATGCAAGGGCATTTTTCTACGGCTGCATTTAGCCAAGAAGCTGTGGCACTGGGTATCATAGACAAGGGTCTGATAGAACTCTTTGTCACATCCAGTGGGCCCAATCCCTTCCTCTGAAGCCCACAGAATGAGTTCTGGTGATCAAGGTGTCAATGAAGACCATCTGTTCACTTTCACCTTGCTGCTGCAACAACAGCTTTCCTAGTTACTTTCAACCATAGTTGCAGCTGCCAGGACAACTGGGGATGCCTTGCTTTTATGAAGGGCTGCTCTTCTGAATGAGATCTTAGGAGCCAGACTGCTTGTGAAACTACCACTAATGCAGTGGGAGAGAAAGAGACAGTGGTGAAGGTAGCTCCTTCTGCCTTAGGCAGTGCAGTCTTGTATCGACCTGCATAAGTTTACAGCAGGAAATAGGTATCCTTGCATCTTCCTGTATATACGCATCTCCATATGCATGGAGACTTTCCCCCACCCCTCTTTTCATATTACTAGAACTTGTGTCACTGCATGAAATTAATTGGTAGCAGATTCAGGGCAGATAAAAAAAGAACCTCATCCTACAATCAACAGATAGTGCATTGTTATTATTATTATTTAAAAAAAACAGTTGTGATCATGATAAAGATGGGAAAATCTGTCAGCTTTTCTTTCTCTTGTATTCAGTCTTTAAATCATCATTTTTCTTTCCCAGATATGAAGTCTAGAAATTATAATACATTCTTCAAAAATGAACTGAATTGAAATTCTCCTCCATCTGCAATTCACTAGGTAAAGCTATTCAAGAAGAACACCTTACATCTGGCTGTCCTATCAGTGTTGAAGATGTGGAAATTTGGGGCCTCTAATTTGGCCCCAATTTGAACACAGAAGGATTGAAATCCAGTCTTTTAATAGACAGGCACTCAAAAGTGCTTTACACTCATGAACACATTGGTCAGTTCTTGTTTTTCCCTCCTTCAAATTTACAAACTTTCTTCCTGAGAAATCTGTGGACGTGGCAGACTCTCAGCCAAGATAAACAGAAAGGAAATTCTCTCCCATCCTTGGATGCTGGCCATTAACTGAAATGGTTGTAAAACAGGATGAGAAATATTTATGGTGGGGGTGTAAAAACATGATCAAGTGGGTACTTGTCATGACCACTAAATGGACTCCCCAGATTCAGCAGTAGTCCTAAGAATACTCATTCCTTGAGGGAGAGGCAGTAGCACCCTTAATTATTTACATGGTGGCTATGGGGCACGTTTGCTGGACTAGATTAGTCCTTAATCTAATTCATCTTGACCTGATCACTGGATGTCACTGACCCTTGATTAGACTCATCAGTTCTCTTTTTTCTGGTCTTTGTTCCATACCCTCTCATTTGAAAGCAATATATATAATTATTATTTTTAAGAACCATGTTTATTTCTGTAATAGTCATTTGGAAAGTTATAAACCCCACAATCTCATCTCTTCAGCCCTATTCAGATGTTTGCCCGCTCCCGTGTAGGGCCAAAGGGGCAATGGTGGGAATAGGGATGTGCGTGAAAGCCCCAGCTCTGTAGGTCCCCATGCCCACAAGAAACCATCTCAAGAGACCACTGTAACTGTGCTGAGCGGGTAAGGCCAGGATCACAAACCTAGGAGCTTCGTTATAATGAAGGCTGGTAAGTTCTAATCTAAAATGAAATTCTGCCCCCATTCTTAAGGACTGAGGGAATGGTAGTCCAATAATAATGACTGGTTTTGTAAATTGTTCTGATGCCACTGGATTTTTATTTGTTCTATACTGTTAATTCTTGTTTATTTTTTTCTTGCATTTTGTTTTCACTTCTTGTTAAAGTGCCCAGAATAGTCCTTTTGTGTGAATGGAGTGGTACATAAATGAATAAATGAATTTTTAAAGCTCCCATCTGGACATACGTTTGGATAGAAGGGTTAAGAGAAAGGCTCCAAAGTTATGAATTTCTACCATCTAGTGGGGAGAACATGCAATGGCATTGCACAATTTTTTAAAATCTTGAGTCAGGTGCAAAGGGTGGCACAGCACTCGTGTGGGTGTGCACTCATGCACATGTGCAAAGGGCAGCATGGTGCTCAGGGGGCACTTGTGCACATGCACGAAGGGATAGGGGAGCACTCGTGCGTGCAGGCACGCGTACGCAGGCGCAAACAGGCTGTGCGAGGGGAGTGCATGCGGGGGTGGGGGGAGGTCTGTCTCCACGGCCCGGTCCGGCTCAGGCCATGGATCGGCACCAGGGGTTGGGGACTTCTGGTCTAAACAACTGTAACAGGCTTGACCCAGTCAGCAAATAACCCTGCATATTATGCCAATCTTAAATACAACTCATTTCAATGAGTTTAAGCATCATGTCTGGATCCAACCCATTAAATCCAGATTTTCCACTGTTTTAACTTTTGTAAAATAAACAATGAGGCCAAATGTGTAGAAGAACTGTTCCAGATGGAAAACATACCTTTTTCTGCTAGATCTTTCCACCTATCTTTGTTTTCTTGGATGATTTCAAATAAGTTGTCCTTAAAGCTTCTTAAGTCCACTGTTGCTAAAGTGTTCTCTGAACAAGTCCCACTCACGGACAGAGTGTTTTTAACATTTAACCTTTTGTGCACTTCAGCGCTGCTTCCTCCATTGCTATTTTCACTAAAAAGAAGGAGAAAACAACTAGGTCCCAAACAGAGTATAACACATCAAGTGCACGAGTCACAGCTATAGATGCGCAATAAAACAGAATGGTGAGAACATTTTAACTTTTCTTATTTTGTTTTTGGTCTCTGAAAGCGTAACACAAACTTCGTGTGCAAGCATGATTGCTCAATCAAGAATTAAACCGTACACCACACCACAAAGCAAACGTTTCTATGCCAGTGTATTTCAAATGTGCTGAATCACAATACCTGTCATCCCACATTTGGGATGATAGGAGTTGTAGTCTAACACAGCTGGAGGACACTAGGTGGGGAAAAACTATCAAATGAGACACCTCAGGTAGGTACAGTAAATAGGAGGAAGAGAATATGGGAAGGCCGTTGACTGCAAGGAGACTAAACCTTCTATTTAAAAAGGCAGTGCAGTTCCATGAATATCTGCTTAGAACGAAGTCCCCCTGGATTCCATGGGGCTTATGCCCAGGCAAGTCTGCACTGGATTGTAATCTAAATCTACTAAAGAAAAGAGTGCTATATTTTATACTGCCCCTGAAGGACTAGATTCGTAGTTTGGGGGGGGGTACTCTTGGACCCATCTCTCTCTACGGAGGTGCAAATATCTGCTGTGGCCAAGAGTGCTTTTAATCAGTTTTTGTTGATTGCCCAGGTGTACCCTCAGCTGGATAAGAAATGCTTAATAACAGTGGTTCATGTTCTGGTAAAATAGACTGGTGTAGTGCTCTCTATTTAGGGCTGCCCTTGAAATCACTATGAGAACTTCAACAGGCTAGTAGAAAGCCGACAGCCAGACTGATTACAGGTACCAGCAGATATGAACCTGGATCCCCAGTCTTCACACACCTTCACTGGCTCCATGTTAGTTTCCATGATCAATTTAAGGTCCTGATCATAACTTATAAAGCCCTCAACGGTTTTGGACCTCAATATTTGGTAGAATGTCACCTCCACAAAATAGCTACCCATCCCACCCACTCCTCACAGTTCTTGATGTGAAGAACAGCAACACCGAAAGAGCCCAAAATACCCCCAACACTAGGAACCGAGCTTTCTCAGTCATAGCCCCTTTCCTCTGGAATAAGCTTCCTACAGAGGTTCACTAGGTGTCATCCCTCTTCAGTTGTTAGGAAGCTAATTAAAAAAAGAATTGTATAAAGCTGCCTTCTACTAGTCCAAATATTGACTGCAATGCTCAAATGGGTTTTAATTTGTGTTTTTCTTTTTAAGGTAAGTCTGTTGTTTTAGCTAGTGATAGGGTTTATTGAATTTTTATTGTACAGTATTTATTATACAGTGTTTTTACTGTATGTTGGAAACCACCCAGAGAGTAGTAACTTTATTGGGGAAGTATAGAAGTAGAAATCAATCAATCAATCAATCAATCAGTCAATCAATCAATCAATCAAACAAACAAACAAACAAACAAACAAACAAACAAACTGCTTATCTGATCCAAAGCAGAGGTAATGGATGAGCAGGACTTGTTAAATTAAACCCATGTCAGTAACTTTGATTCAACAAGTCTACTCTAGTTGTGACTACAACGGGCTATGGCCCAGAACATAAACAGTACATCCCATAAAACACTCCTCTGGAGATAAATCCCATTCAATTGAATGAGGCAAACTTCTGAGTAGAAACACATACAATTCTAGTGTAACTAGGGATGGAAAAACCAGTATTGATTTTGTTGTATTTCTCCAAATTGTAACTGGATCTTTATCCCATCCTTTGCTTGTACCAGAATGGGACACTTCATTTTTAAATCCTGGATGGAAGTTCATACATTTTTGAATGTATGGTTTCCAAATGACTTTCATATATGCATATTCTTAACTTGGACACATTTTTAGCCATTTCTATGGTGGTTTTTTTAAATGCATGATTTTCTGCAGATTTTATGTCCCCAAAATGCACTACAAGCCTTACAGAAGTGGAGATTTCTCAGGGGAGGGGTGCTCTATTTTGCAGTACCATCTTGGGAAGCAAAGAATGGATGCTTCTGACAGGAATGTTGACTCCAACCACATTCCTTTCCAACCCTAGGTATAACTAAGATAGGATAATTAAAGCTGCCACTGAGTCTTGTAGTTCTCTATCAGAGGGATGGCAAACACAAAGCTTTCCAGATGTTGAACCTCAGTTTCCATCATCCCTCACCATTTTCTATGCTGACTGATGGGAATTGCAGTCCAACCACAGAGGAAACAGCCACATGATACTCAGCCCTGTTCTATCCCGTGTAAATATTATCACTGGGATATTCATGTTTATTTATTAAACCTTATAGATATGATATCAAACACTTCAGCTTTCAGTTTAGATCATGTAATGATGAGATGATTAAATAAAAGTATATTCATAGAACCAACATACTGTATACGGAACTTTTCTGGCACAGCAAAGGTTAATGTAAATATTAAAAGCTCACTTCTTTCAAATTTACTTTGCAAAAAAAAGAAAGCTTTTAAATTATAAGGTTTCCCTTTTGAGATCTATACAGCAGTTTCAGTTTCTCTCAGTCTAATAATTCTACTTTATTTTCATGCATTTACATTTTAAAAATTGTAAACAAATACCCCATAGCATAATCTTATCTTAACATCTTAAAAGAAACTTAAGAACAATTTAGATTAAAAGATAAGCACATTAAACCCGAAACAACCTTTTTTACTGTTCTCTTCCTTGGTCTTCCATAGAAACAGTAGCTCCTGCCCTGCCCTAGGCTATTATCATATATTACACTTGCAAATATTGCCAGCAGGTGGCAGTGTTATATTGCAGTAGATTCTACACAGTATATTCAATAATTAAAATGTAGAGGAGAAAGAAAAAACCCTCAAACCTTGGTAATGACAAAAAGCTTGGATTTTCAGATTTTGAAGCTTCCTCTATAAGAGGAAAAACTATTTTCTCCATGGAGTCAGTAAGAAGAGAAAATGTTGGCTTGACTATAAAATCAATGAAACCTGTAGAGAAATGGAAGGAAAATAAGAACATTTAGAGGTTTTTAATCCCTATTTTGTCTAGTCAGTGAGAAACAGTTAGTCTAAAGGAGCTGTGCCTCCTCAGACCTTGGTTGACCCTGATCCAACCTTCCCAGCAGTTTTTTTTATAGCTGAAGGGGAAAAATCAAGGCAAAACTACTCATTCAGTATCCCATATCCTTCAGTGGCTTAGCCACTAGGCTCTTAGACATACAGTATACACAAATAAATATATACAGTAAACAAAACAGACAAAACTGAAGAAGCTACTTGGATGAGTAGCGAAACGTTTCATCCTAATAAGAAAGCAGACCAGTTGCCATGACTCAACTTCCAGACAACCTCACCTGAAGGACTGAGAATCTTCACAATTATATAACAGACAATGTATATATTCACCGTGAAGTGGCTTTTTTGAAGTTGCTTTTCCAGCTAAGGGCCCATGTAGATCATGGCAGATGAATGTCAGGAGAGAAATTCACTATACAAGAAGTATACCTCTTATATAGTGAATTTAATGCATTACAGATGCAATTCCAGAGGAAGTGGAAGAGGAGGTTTAAAAAAAGCCACTGATTATAATAAGTTTCCACATATATCCGCAAGGTGAAACTAAATCCAAAGGGCCACTGGCATGCAATATTTGCAATTGCTGATTTTCTTATCAAGTCATCATTTCTCAAGCCATCTCTTTTAAGATACATAGAGTTAATGGGATAGAGAAAAAACCACTAATGGTTTTGATTGCTGGGCAACAAGGATTAACATAGATGTCCTAATACTGCCACTTCTGTATTTCAACCTTCACTTGAGAAATACACACCACTTCTTATGTAGCATAATTCCACGGATGTTTCTTCAGGGGTAGGTGTCACCGTTCCATGGCATTTACTCCCAGGAAAAAGTACTTTCTTAATTCCCTCCCCCTCAGCACCTTGGGCCTCCCAGCATCTCCTCACAAACCCAACTTTCAAGAAAGAAAGAAAGAAAGAAAGAAAGAAAGAAAGAAAGAAAGAAGATATTGCTCAAGAGGCCTTCTGTGGTATCAAAGGGCCATGGAAGCAATTTTGTAACATTTGAGGGGATATATATATAGAGAGAGGAATTAAATATATACTGTATAATGCTTTCCCAACATAATAAGCTTTTGCCTGCACCCTCGAGGGTGCAAAACACTTCCCACAGAAGGCACCTGTGGATCAAGGCTTTCATGTGATTGAGATGATACTCTAAATTACTGTTTTAGCATTCCACGCACTTCTCCTTTCACAATGTGTTACCCATGTTCTGTCAAATCAGTGAACGGAACAAGAAATATCCCTGGGAGACAGAATTCAACCCACAGCTCTGAGATGTCATTCCTGAACAATGCCTTCCCCTCCCTCCTTTGCTTTATCAAAATGCCTGTCTAGGTGAGACATTACCCAGAGAACAAAGCTTGATTCCCTGCTGAGAAGTGAACAGGAAAAAAATCCAACACTACATGGAACAGTAACATTTAAAAAAAAACATACCCCAGGCATAAAAGAAAGCAATGGCCCATTGCCATCTTGCGAACAGGTATTTTCAGGCTGAGAAATGTTTATTTATTTATTTATTGGACTTATATACCGCTCCATAGCGCTACAAGCACTCTCCGGGCGGTTTACAATTTAATTATACAGGCTACACATTTTACCGACATTGGAAGGATGGAAGGCTGAGTCAACCTTGAGCCGGCTACCTGGGATTTGAACCCCAGGCCGTGAGCACAGTTTTCGCTGCAGTACAGCGTTTTAACCACTGCGCCACGAGGCTCCACCAACTCCCTTCGCTGGGACTTGTTAGTCCTCATTCTGAGGGTCTGCCCTGCCCAGTTCTTGCATTAGCTGAAAATAGTGGCTGGTCTCCTCTACAGCACTTTCCCACCACCTATGGACCTCAGACTTTTTTGGACCATGAGTTCCAATCAGCATGGCCAATGGTCAGGTGGAAATCACAGTCAAAAACATCTGTAGGGCACCAGGTTGGAGACAGTATTCAAGAGGAAGGGACACCTAGTCATGTCTCCTCACTGGCTTGCCATAGCTAACCTGTTTCCCCGAAAAAAAGACTTAAACCAAAAATAAGCCCTAGTATGATTTTTCAGGATGCTCGTAATATAAGCCCTACCCCAAAAATAACCCCCAGTTAAGTGAAACCCTGCCCTCCACCATTGTGCAGCAACCAGAAGAAGATGACAGGACTGTATTTGAATAAATGTAGGTGGTTGTAGATGAAAAAAAGAAAACATCCCATGAAAATAAGCCCTAATGCATTTTTGGAGCAAAAATTAATATAAAACCCTGTCTTATTTTGGGGGAAACACAGTAGCTACCATGGATCTGAGATTCACAGCTACTTCCAAAATACTGAGTGTTTGTGCAAGGATCTGCTCAACCAAGTTGGAAGTGATCACAGGTGACACCACAGCTCCTGTGAAAAAATAAATCAGATGCTGGCTGCCCCCCCTCACTTTAGCTACACCCCAGGACTGGAGACAGCAGCCATACTGTGGCTGAGGGCCATGCTGCACATTTAGGGAAATGCATATATCCAGCATTTCCTCTAGGCATTCAAATCCTTCAAAGCTACAGCTCTGGGCAATCGGACATGCAAACAAAGCCAGTGTCTATTCTCCGAAGGGTAATTACTAACAAATGCAAAAGAATTTGCAAAAAAGCAAAGAGAGGCAAACTTAAAATAAATAGATAACTTTTTCCCTCTTAAGGGTGCCCAGCTTCCAATGACAGGCTAACTGTAAAATCTAGGGCCACTCTGACCTCCTCTGAGAAATTCTCAATGCACACATGGGAAATGCATGGCCTGTAAGAGGTCAGACTCCAGTTCTCATGAGACCTATCATCATTGGCTGTCCTGGTTATGGCTAAGGGGACACTGCAGTCCAAATCTGCATCTAGAGAACCAACATCTAGTAGCCCCCTCCTGCCTTAACAAGCCTTGGTTTCATTCACACAGAGTGAGGTGGTGGGCCTTCCATCACACCAGTCACTCACACTTCCAATACTGTATACCATCACACCAGTCACTCACACTTCCAATATATGCAAAGGGTCACCATAAGTGAGAATTGACTTGATGGCACAAGGTTATTATTAGGGATGAGCACAAACCTCCATTCAGAGGTTCATGCTGGTTCATAGGTGCTGCGTGTTCCCTTCCCCTACCTGACTGGCTGGATTCCCCTGCTCATCAGCCAGCACATCCTCCTCTCCTCCTCCTCCTCCTCTTCAGTTGTTCAGCCAGTCCCCGGCAGGAGCATGGGCTTCCCTCCCCCACCTCCTCAGTGGATTCTCCACTCAGACAAGGAGGGGTGAGAGGCAAACACATGTTCCTGCCAGAGACTGGCCGAGCAGGTGAAAAGAGGAGGCGGCGAGGAGTGCGCTCCAGTGGCTGAGAGAGGTATTTGCTGGGGAGGCAGGGGAACCGAACATCCAGCACCTCGTGGTGCTGCGCTTACGAATCTCCAAACCGAGGCTCATGCCCACCTCCAATTATTATGATGATTGTTTGTTCATGGGGAATTCTAGTTAGCACACATTCCCTGAGTTGTCTCTCACCCAAACACTGGCCGGACTTCACCTGCTTAGCTTTGTCCAATCCTGGACCGTCTGCCTTCAGGCCAAATATTGTGGGGCTTGTAACCTGATACTCAAGAGTTGGGGGCTTGAGTCCTGGACTCACCGTGAAGTCACACTTAAGTTGCACAGGTGACTCGGCTCAGGTGCCACTCACGGGTTTCCCCCCCCCAATGATTTGGACTCAACTCACGACTCAGAACCACCCACCCCTCCATTTTTTTTTTCCTGGGGAAAAGCTCATTTTTAATAGGGACTTGGACTTGGGACTTAGCACCAAAGAGTCAGACTCGGGATGGCGACACAAAGACTTGCCAACCTACTGCATGGGCTCTTTCTCCCTCTGCAGTCCTGTTTCCCTTTTTGTCCGTAGTCTTATTTCTGCATTTGTCCCCAACCTCCGCTTGTCCTTCTCCCCATGGGAGGAGGACAAGCAGAGGTTGAAAGGGAAAGAGCCCATCTCTCCCAGTTATTCTGGTGGTTGTGATGTGCCCTCTTTAATGGTGTGAATCAGGGACCAGTCCCTCAGCAGCTCAAAGCTGAAGCAAGTGGCCTAGCAACCTGGAAAAGTTTGTTTTGTAACCATCACAGCAGCGCTTTTTCCCATTATAAGACAGACAGACAGACAGATTTTAAAGAATTGCTGTGCATTACCTATTTGGGACTGTGCCACCATGGTGGATTTGCGGTCGCAAAGAGGAGAAAATGGTAGCCCTAGTTCTGCCTCTTTGTCTCCCTGCAGGAGGAAAAAAAAGGCACACACAATAAGACCTGTTTGCACTACAGTCTCAGTAGAAGAAAGAAAATTAAAAAAAAACATTCACCCACCCACGTGCAAATGGCAAGTCCCTTCCTTGATGTTCATGTTACATCTCTCACAGTGGGGAGAAGGAAGGCTGTACCTATGTGAGCTTCTCAACCACAGTCAACCCATATGCTTGCATTTTACTGTTGTGAAATTATATACATATGGTGGGATATGGAGCCAGTAATTTAAAAAGTCTCTCTCTCTCTCT